TGGGAGTTGACAAAGGCAGGGTGCTGCCTTCCCCTGGGGTAGGGGAAGAGGTGGCTTCAAGTACAGTTGTCAGAGGTATGGTGGCGTCAACAGGAGATGTGGTGGCATCAACAGAAGGTGTGCTGGTCTCAGTGGCACTGGTGCCAGGTGCAGTGCTAAAGAGCATACTTCCTCTCGGAGTGCTGGCTGCATTCGGAGTTGAGAAAGGTATTATGGTGCCCTCAACAGGGGTAGAAGGTGAAATGGCTTCTGTAAAAGTGGACAGATATGTGGTGGTAAAACCTGCACGTGTTGCTGTTGTGCCTGCCCCAGTAGGACTGGTTCCAGGCAAGGTGCTGACAAGGACAGTTGTGAATGGACTGCTTCCTTCACTGGGAGTTGACAAAAACAGAGTCCTGTCTTCCACTGTGGTAGTAGAAGAACTGTCTTCAAGTACAGTGGTTAGAGATGTGGTGATGTCTACAGGAGGTGTTCTGGCCTCAGGAGGACTGGTCTCAGGCAAGGTGCTCACAACGACAGTTGACAATGGACTGCTGACTTCAGTGGAAGTTGACAAAGGTGGGGTGCTCCCTTTCACTGGGGTAGGAGAAGAACTGGCTTCAGGTAAGGTTGTCAGAAATGTGGTGGCATCAACAGGAGGTGTGCTGGCCTCAGTCGGGCTGGTGCCACGTTCAGTGCTAAAGAACGTACCTGCTCCCGGTGGGCTGCTTTCACTCGGGGTTGAGACAGGTATGGTTGTGCCTTCAACAGGGGTAGAAGATGAAATGGCTTCTGTAAAAGTGGGCAGATATGTGGTGTTAGCACCTGCAGTTGTTGCTGTGGTGCTTTCCCCAGTAGGACTGGTCCCAGGGAACGTGCTGACAAGGACAGTTGTGAATGAACTGCTGCCTTGAGTAGAGGTTGACAAAGGCAGGGTGCTGCCTTCCCCTGTGGTAGGAGAAGAGCTGGCTTCAGGTACAGTGGTTAGAGATGTGGTGGTGTCAACAGGAGATGTGCTGGCCTCAGTGACACTGGTGCTAGGCAAGGTGGTCATAAGGATAGTTGTCAATGGACTGCTGCCTTCGCTGGGAGTTGACGAAGGCAGTGTGCTGCCTTCCACTGTGGTAGGAAAAGAAATGGCTTCAGGTACAGTGGTTATAGATGTGGTGGCATCAACAGCAGGTGTGGTGGACTCAGTGGGACTGGTCTTAGGCAAGGTGCTGACAAGGACAGTTGTCAATGTACTGCTGACTTCTGTGGAAGTTGACAAAGGCAGAGTGCTGCCTTCCACTGGGGTAGGAGAAGAGCTGGCTTCAAGTACGGTTGTCAGCGATGTGGTTGCGTCAACAGCTGTTGTACTGGCCTCAGTGGGGCTGGTGCCACGTGCAGTGCTAAAGAGCGTACTTGCTCCTGGAGAGGTGGCTGCATTCGGAGTTGAGAAAGGTATGGTGGTGCCCTCAACAGGGGTAGAAGATGAAATGGCTTCTGTGGAAGTGGGCAGATATGTGGTGGTAGCACCTGCAGTTGTTGCTGTGCTGCTTGCCCCAGTAGGACTGGTCCCAGGGAACGTGCTGACAAGGACAGTTGTGAATGGACTGCTGCCTTTAGTAGAGGTTGACAAAGGCAGGGTGCTGCCTTCCACTGGGGTAGGAGAAGAGCTGGCTTCATGTACCGTGGTCAGACGTGTAGTGGCGTCAACAGGAGATGTGGTTGCATCAACAGGAGGTGTGGTGGCCTCTGTGGGACTCGTTCCTGGGAAGGTGCTGACACGTAGAGTTGCCAATGGACTGCTGCCTTTACTGGGAGTTGACAAAGGCAGGGTACTGCCTTCCCCTGGGGTAGGAGAAGATCTGGCTTCGGGTACAGTGTTCAGAGATGTGGTGGCATCAATAGGAGATGTGGTGGCGTCAACAGCATGTGTGGTGGACTCAGTGGGACTGGTCCCAGGCAAGGTGCTGACAAGGACAGTTGTCAGTCGTCTGCCAAGTTCACTGGTAGTTGAAAAAGGCAGGGTGCTGCCTTCCACTGGGGTAGGAGAAGAACTCGCTTCAAGTACAGTGGTCTGAGATGGGGTAGCGTCAACAGCTGTTGTGGTAGCCTCTGTGGGGCTTTTGTCAGGTGCAGTGCTATAGAGGGTACTTGCTCTCAGAGTGCTGGCCGCACTCGGAGTTGAGAAAGGTATGGTTGTTCCCTCAACAGGGGTAGAATGTGAAATGGATTCTGTAGAAATGGGCAGATATGTGGTGGGAGCACCCGTAGTTGTTGCTGGTGTGCTTGCCCCAGTAGGACCGGTCCCAGGGAAGGTGCTGACAGGGACAGTTGTTAGTGGACTGCTGCCTTCATTGGGAGTTGATCGAGGCGGTGCCGTGCCTTTCACTGTGCTCACAGAAGAGCCCGCTTCCACTGTTGTCATCAAGGACGTGGTGGCACTTACAGGACTTGTGCTTGTCCTTTTCGGAGTCGTGACAGATTGGGTAGTGTGAAGAAGAGTTGTCGAAGTTTTGCTTTGCACTGTAGTTGTCGATCTAGACGTAGTGGTCTTTTCTTTAGTGGTTCGTGATGTACTATATTCTGTAGAATGGTTGAAAAGTGTGATGATGTCATCTACAGTTTTTGAGGATATGTTGTACTCAGTGGGACTCGCCCCAGGTGTGGTGCTGACAGTGGGGCTGTTGGTTTGTAATCGGGTGCCTGTGGGTGAGTTTTTATTGTCATTGTCCGCAGCTTGTGCCACGGTGGACTTTGTCGTGTTTCTCAGTACTGTGATATTATTAGTATGAGCTGTTGAAGACATAACATTTTGTTATATGTTCATATATAACATTAAAGATATAACATTTTCTCCAAGTTCTCCACATTGTTTATGGTGTTGTACTCGGGGTTTTTACAGAAAACATGTTAGAGTAGCGACGCCGTCGCAGTCTCTTGTGAGAGCTGGTCCAATCCATGCTCGCCAAGGCATGTGTGTCCTTCCTGCCCTCCCTTGTCTCCTGTTAGGAAGTGACCTCACCTGAATCCCCTCCCACATTCCCTGCTTGGGCACTTCTAGCTTTGGATTGTCACTCCTGGCCCCAGATTCTAAGCTGTCGCAGACCCTACAATCTAGTGGTTTCACCAGCCTGGTGGGGATTGCTGTGTCCGTTTGTGGGTGTGACCCCATCCCAGATCTCTTGGTATGTCTCCTCACCTGCCTGATAGGTCCCAGTCAGCTTCCAGCACTGAGGGTCCTCGAGGCCCTCTGGGGAGTTGCACCCCCCTCCATCCCACACAGCCCTGTTGTCTCTGAGGCCTGCAAGAAAGAAGGGGCAGTTAGTATCCTGGAGTCACAATCCTCCTTCCCACCTGGGAAGTCCTCTGAGTTTGCACTCTGTGCTCTGGAACGGCTGTGACATTTGGACCAGCGTGCTTATGTCTCAGTTAGAAATCAGGCACCAGGACTTTGTCCCCATAGAAGGGAAGCAAGAAGATAGGGCAGGGGTAGGGGTGGCCCTGGAGCATGCAGGGCCACGTCAGGTTGTGCCGGTGTAGGGAAGAGATCTTTTGCGCAACTCTGGAGTCAGCTTTCAGGAGGGTAAATATTACACGTGACTCAGTCCTTTGCAGTGGAATGTGGGCCCCATGGATGGATGCTAAAACCTGGCTTTAAAAACTTCCGTGATGATACCGATTGTTTTTCCTTTCTGCCAGGTGGAGGCAGATGGTGAGCAGGTCAGCAGGGAAGCATGAAGTCTCAGCATGAAGGACCACAGGCCCCTGAACCAACACAAGAAAGCTCCCTGCCAATCAGGAACGCTTGCCTTGTATTGTTATATGAGCAAGAAGGAAAAAACATCAATTGTGACTGAGCTATTATACAGTTTGTGCATATTTCTGACAGCAGATAGAAAAATATCCCACCTAATACAGGGAGGAGCTTCCTTTAGTCCCAGGAACATATAGGATGACTCTATTCATCCTTAAGAAATTCAAACCTACAGTATTAATATTTTTGTATTAAATAGTGCCTTCACATTTGGGATTTAATATGCTTCTAATGTTCAATTTAATATATTTTTAATGGCCTACTGGAATAACTGCCAACGTTGTGGTTGCAATGTAAAACATACAAGTGAGGGATTTAGACTTGTGATTTTATATTAAAATCTTGCTAAGGTTGTAAACAGTGTTAAAACATGTAAGAGAATGTAAGATTCACCACACTTATACGCTTAATTTATTAGACTTGTAGAATTACTTATGTTTTGAGAAGTTTTAAAAACATATGTTCAATTTATTAGATTTATGGAATTTCTTAAGTACTTGGAAAGGTTTGGTTTATTAATCAGAACAATGAAGTCCTTAAACAGAAAATAAAAAATACAGTCATCCCTCAGTATCCATGGGGGATGAGTTCCAAGACGCCCCATGGACATCAAAATCCTTGGATGCTCGAGTCCCCCTACTACAAAATGGCATAGTAATTGCATATAACCTATGCACAACCCCCTGTGTACTTTAGCTGATCTCTAAGATTACGTATGATACCTAATGCAATGTAAATGCTGTGTAAATAGCTGTTATGCTGTAATGTTTAGGGAATTATGCTGGGGGGGGATGTCTGTATATATTCAGTACAGATGCGACCATCCATGTTTTTCCCCAATATTTTTGATATGACATTGGTCGAATACACAGATTCAGAGCCCATGGATATAGAAGGCTGATTGTATTCATTTTATAAATGCAGTTGAAGACATTTAAAGAAATTTAATTGGCCAAATATGTTAAATGGAGTAAACACTAAGCAAAGGGCCCTCCTAACAGCAATTATTGCACTTCCGCTTCCGACCAAGATGGCGTAAAACGGGTTGGATTTACCCTCCTACCTGAAACAACACACCCCCCCCATAACCATACCAAAGATATTAAACAGCGATTTTTAATATATGGGTATCAGACAGCAAAGGATAGTGATTCCTGAGAGACAGTAAACAAATGAAGAGAGCCCTACAATTACCTGCCTTATTGGCTTGAAAAAGTTTCCAGGCAGCCATGTAGGAAGCTTAACCCAGATGGAACCCCGCAGACCCCTTGAGTTGAGGAGATGCAGGTGAAAGTCTTGGGAGATGAAGGCAGCTCAAGTTCATAGGATAGAGTTACTGGAGAGGAGAGAGCTGCACAGAGATCCTCAGAGATCAGCCCAGGACTGATCAGTGCATGCTCATGAGAAAAATGCCCAAGGCCAGGAAGACACTGCTGGAAATGATAAGAAGGAACAGGGATTGGCTCTCACAGAGGGCAAGAAACAATGCTGTTCCCACCAGCCAAACTGGGAAAACTCATACTTCACAGGGCATCAGGTAGAGCAGGGGTCCCCAACCTACCATGAGTTGTATAATTATTTCATTGTATATTACAATGTAATAATACTAGAAATACAGTGCACAATAAACGTAATGCACTTGAATCATCCTGAAACCATTCCCCCGCCCCCCGCCGCCCCTCTTCATGGAAAAATTTTCTTCCATGAAAACAGTCCCTGATGCCAAAAATGTTGGCACTGCTGATCAGAAAGCCTTTGCTTCAGTAATAGGGAATACAGCCCTAGACTGAGCACTTCTCTGGACCCACCTAAAGAAATCATAACAATGAGATTGAATGGATCACACTGAGACAGGGAACTGGCAGGCACTGCTTCCAGCATTGTTTGATCATGCAGGCATTGCCTGACTGATAAGGAACTCTCAAAACAGAGTTTCAAACTACCCTGACTGAAACAGGGAGGAGATAGGACAAGTTCCAACCAGTTAGAACCAAAATGGTGGAGAAATTCACCACCTCTTGACCTTACAGCATCGTTATACCCTCATTACCATAAAAGTTTCTAAGGAAACCTCCCACTCCTGTCAAGTACCTGACCCTGACACTTCCTGTTTGACGTATGTACTCAAAATTAGGGCGTCACCCTAATTCCAGGAAAACACCGCCCCTTCCCAAGATATAACATAAATACTCCTCCACTTGTTTAGCTTATAATTAAGCTGTTGCTTAAATAGGGGAGCTAAAGGACTCATGGGACTGGTTCTCCTCCACAGGGAGAACTAGCCTCTACTTTGTCTGTGGAGTAGATTATCTATACTTTCTATTATAAATAAAACTCGCATTCACTTTATACTGTCCATTTTCTCCTGAATTCTTTCCTGCATGAAACCAGGACCCACTTGGACTGCAAGTGATTCCCAGCACTGGGAGTCACTTTCCTGTGTCGAAACTGTTTCCAGGTAACTTAACTGCATTCCCAGAACAAATCTCAAGATTTAAAAGGATACAAAGACACCCAGTACCCATGAAGGTGAAATTCACAGTGTCTGGCATCAATTACTACTAAGCAGAAAGAGATAAGAAAACATAACCTATAATGGGGAAAATAGTCAATCCACTGAATCCTACACACAACTGACATAGATATAAGAATTCTCAGAGAAAGACATTAAAGTAGCTTTTAATAATTGCATTCCATATGTGTAACAATTAAATAGAGACATGGAAAATGTGGAGGAAAAAACTCCAACAGAACTTCTAGAGATAAAAATACACCAGATGGGATGAAGGACAGATTAGACACTGGAGAAGAAAAACAATGATTTGAAGGCATAGCAATAGAAACTATTCAAACTGAAATACGGGGAGAAAAAAAATGAAGCTAAAAAATTGTAAAAAGATCACAAATGAGCTATGGAACAACTTTAAGCAGCCTAATGTACAGGTAATTAGAGTCCCAAAAGGCAAAGAGAGAAACGGTGACCAAAAAATACATGAAGAAACAATGACCCCAAATTTTCAAACTTGATAAAAATTGTAAGTCCATAGATTCAAGAAGTTCAACAAACCTCAAACACAAGTAGTATAAGGAAAACCACCAAGGAGTTCAGATTCTACAAATATTAAAAAGAAATTTTA